ATCAGGCATTCGCTATCCCAAGTGGGAGATTTAATGGCGGCTGTGTAGTTACGGTGCAACAATTTTTTTGTGTTTTTTTGTGTAAAATGGGCGGATGTGCAGCTATTAATTGTTCAAATCATTCACGGAAAGGTCATACATTGGTAAAATTTCCTAAAAAAAAAGAAAGAAAGAAGAAAATATGGGTAAATAATTGCCGAAGAGACAATTGGAAACCTGGTCCAAGGCGCTGAAACTTTGCTTAGTAAGTATAATGTTAATTACGCCTTCATTTAGAGTTTATATCTTCTCTGATGTTTATAATGTGCAAGTAAAGTGAAATTCTTGTGTACAATAACCTAAGTATCTGCTAATTTCTGTAATAATAGCTATAATTAAATTAGTCTAGGGTTAATGTACCCGTCGCCAAACATCGCCAATGTGGATGTTTTGAATGTGGAAAAGAAATTTCTCTTCTAATATAAAGCGCAGATTTTGTTTTCCTGTGCTAATTGTGGAAATTATACTAATGTAACATGAAAATCATTAGCATATTGAAATTTATTAAAAAAATAAATAATAATTTGGAAAGTCAAGATAAAATCTGAATGTTTGCTAAAGATATATGTAACATTATACTATAGTTGCAATATCGTTGGAATGATATATAATTTTTTTCTTTATTTTATAATCACTGTTGTTAAAAAGTTAGATGAGTTGTTTATGCACGGTGCCCACTAACTGTTTCTTGGTTAAAATAACTTCCAGAATTTTGACATTGACATCTGAAGTCAATAGAATAAATTGAATAGTATGAGACAAAATATATATAATCTGACTTCAATAATTGCAAGTACCATATATTTATAATCACAGTATTATACAATTTGGCAATTTTAAAAGATAATAAGAGTAAAGATTTAGAAATGAATGCAGAACATTCAAATAAGCACAGAGAAAACTTGTGAAACTGCATGTGTATTTTTCAAAAATAATTGTAGTGTTTTTAATGCATGTGTAGTGTTTAATGCATGCATAACAATCAAATAAATCTGCCTGTAATGATGAATTTCAAAGGCCAAGCCAAAATCCTTTCATGAATTTGATACTTCTAAAGAATGTGATCTCCGTCAAATTAAATCCTCATGACATTGATAAACAGTTATTACTGATCTGTGTTACTGTTACAAAACAGATTTTTATACATGATAAATAATATTTTCTGAAGCGTTATTTTGTGTTGTCATCTCTAAATAAAAAACATCTAACTGATCAAATTCAGAAAGCTACTGAACTACGTTCTAGAGTTTTTAATAACTTTAATTGGATATGTCTGTGCCGATGTAATTTAAAAAATTGTCGTTTAAACTGGCCTTGATGCTTTTTAAAATGCATGTTGGCACTGTGCTCCGAAATTAGGGCTATGTTTTGAATGATTAGAGAATTAAAAATTAAATATTTCAATTAGAGCAATAAACATTACTACAATTATAACAAGAATCATAGTCTGCTCTAATTATAAATGTATTTATCGGCCTAGTATCTTAAAAGTTGGGTGAAGTGAACTCTTATTTTCTTATCTATTGTAAGAGCACTATAGCAAGAAATATAAAGTTTTATTTTAGTTGTTTTTAATGTTATAGCAAAACACTACTTCATTTAATTTTTGGATAATGTTCTAAAGGATACTAAATTATAGGCAAAAAAATAAATATTGAACAGTTAAATTGTGCCCAAGCTGACGAGATGATGCTACTGTTATGTCAGACATGATTTGTTTATTGTTTCAGTTTTTTATAATACTGGGCCTAATTTAATTACCTGCATATTTATTTATTGCCTATACTTACTTACAGTTCATGCTTGCTGCCTTTGGCACAACCTCACTGTGTGTGGTTTGTTTTTTGTACTTTTATTTATTTTGTGTACTTTTTTTTTATTACTTTATGTATTTACAGGATCATTTTGAGGAATCTCAATTTGAGTCACTATGCAAAGATAGAAAAAAACTAAGAAAAACTGCAGTACCAACACTCTTTAGCATTCCAAATCCACCACCATCTGTAACTGACAAGAGGATAAGAGAAGTAAGATGTCCTAAGCCAAATACTGAAGTGGTAAATTATTTAATATTCTCCAAAAAAATTGTTGAAAAAAATCATTGTTATTACAAATATATTAATTCATCCAACCATTGTTTAAAAAAATAATCACAGCATAACATGTTTACTATTTCTTTTTGAATTTAGGAAACTCTACCTGCTTCAAATGAAGAGTTGTTAAAAAAAAATAGAATTCCTTGAGCAACAGCTTCAAGAAAAAGATGCAAAATTGACATCATTTTTGTCCGATGAGCAAGTAGGAGCCCTTGCTGTGCAGTCAAAAAGGAACTGGTCAGAAAAGTCCATTATAAAAGGACTGAAGATGCGATTTGCTTTGGGCAAACATGGATATAATTACCTCAGAAGTACTGGATATCCAGCACCATCGTACAGTACCTTGAACAGGAGGATTAGGGAAATAAAAATAAATTTCGGCATTTTAGAAAATTTGTTTTTTTTCCTCAAGACAAAAGTTCATTCATTGGATGCTCTTGATAGGAACTGCTGCCTTTTAGTTGACGAAATGGAAATAGCTTCATATCAAGATTTTGATACATCGTCTAAGTCATTCATTGGAAATGTTACGTTAGGAAAACCTGCAGTTGCTAAGCATTACACTATTGTAATGCTTAGAGGCCTTAAAACATCATGGAAACAGATTGTTGCCAATGAATTAACAGGGCCTTCAACATCAGGTTCTGACATGAAAGATCTAATTCATAGAACTGTAGTAGCAGCTACAGAAATAGGTTTAACTGTAAGAGCCTCTGTTTCAGATATGGGAAGCAATAACAGAGCAATGTGGTCGTCATTGGATGTATCTGTCTCTAGGACAGATAGGAAGACAAATTACAACATTGGAGGACCTGATGTTTTCATTCACAGTATTGCAGATGTACCACATCTCATTAAAAACATGAGAAATGCATTTCTTTCAAGTATTATAATATTACCAGAGGAATTTCGCCAGCAGCATGCCTTGCCATCGAGGATAGTATCTTCAGTGTATGTGAAACGACTCTGGTCAAGTGAGATAGAATCAGATGCTGCCCTGAGATCTCTACATCACTTGAACAGAGTTCATCTCTTCCCAACACACTTTTCCTCGATGAATGGTGGCATCTGCTGTGCAATTGTTTTCTGTAAAAACAGCTGCTGCTATTGAAAAAGCAGTTATTTTACACCAAGTTGCAAAAGAAGCATTAACTTCTGCATGGTGGCTGAGACTTGTAGCAGAATGGTTTACAATTATGACTGCAAGGCATCCAAAAAAAGGCATCACTATCAAAAATCAAGATGAGAAATTTAATATTTTATTGAAATTCATTCATGTGACTGAAACTGTTCAGTTTGGAAAGCATGGAAGCCATTTCAAACTGGCATTATTATGAGCACATTGAGTGTTGTGAAACTCTCAAAAGAATTATTTTCCGAGGGGTTTACATTTTTCTTACCAGGCAGGTTGACACAAGATGCGCTGGAAAATGCCTTTTCACAGATTAGACGAAAGTCGGGTGCAAAGCCTACTGCTTTGCAAGCCAAGAGAGCACTGAAATTAGTGTGCCTATCACAGTTCATTTCAGATATCAATAATCCAAATTATTGTTCTGAAAGTGACCACAGCCTCTTTGATGCTTCTGAATTAGAGGTTGCTATCAGAAAGGAGGTCTTGCATCCTATCTCCAATTCTGTAGTGCCATCTACCTCTTCTGCAGTGGCAGTGTGAAACGTCGCTTGCCCCCAGCTGTGGAAGAAAATGATATACATTACATCGCAGGAGCCATATATAATAAGTTGTTGAAAAAAAAAAGCATATGTGAAAATTGTAAAACAGCTATGACCATTTCAGAGGACATGCTGGAACCTGACATACCCGCCCGAGCATCGCACAATTCTTACAAAACATAGCAATAAAGGTGGACTGAAGGTCATCTCTTCAGGAATGTATCGAATATGTAGGGAAGCTGAACGAGAATTTCAAAAATGTAAAGATGTACTCCTTCGTTTACAATCAGCCATCACAAAAGAATTAGTTGAAAGAATAATTGATAAATGTACGCATGTGGCCATGCCAGAATGCTGTAATCTTAAGAAAGTAATTATTGATAATTTTTTTATTACTAGATGCAAAGGCCTTACACAGCATCTTATCAACAAAAGAGCCCATAACGTTTCATATTCATCAGCATCGGCCAATAAGAAACAAAAAGTAAAATAATTTTAGAAGGTATGTATGTTTTATATTAAATAATTTATGTGTTTTATGTAATATGTATTACTTTTTCCTAGGCTACGAGTATATAAATTTCTGTGTTTGATGTTATATATGTTACTTTCTGCTAGGCTATGAGTATATTATTATGGTATTATTTTCTTGTTTCTAATATATAGAAATATAGCATATTTTCCAGTATAAAATTTCAGTTAAGTTTTACTTAAAAGTATGGGAAAGCAGATTTGTTTCATGCATGATCTTTATAATACTGGTATGAAATGAATGAATTTTAATCTGTAAACAATTTTTTGTTAATATTGAAATGTGTTTCCTTTGGGTACATTTTTAGGCACTTGTGGATCATGTCAGACAACATGCAATAGAAAAAAGATGTCCGTGTGCATAAATTTTCATTGTGTTACTTCATTTTATCTAAATTTCAAGGATAATTCTTTTCATTTTTATATGGCATGTTATTAGTATAAAGGCTAGTGAAAATAAATTGGTATGTGTATCTGTTTTTGAAGTGTAATGCTTAAATAAAAAGATGGTGTGTGTTTCTTCATTTAAATAAAATTTCAAAGATAGTATTTTTCAGCGTTGTACTGTTTGTTATTTCTCAATGTAAAGGGTAACAAGGGGAAAAAAAAAACTGGTATGGTACATCTGTTTTTTAAGCATGATAATTTTATTTATTTCTTTAGTGATGCATATATATAGAGAGAGAGAAGGTATTTGGTCCAACTGAAGTTATAATAAATCTAATTTTACTAGATCTCTTCTCCCCTCAGGTGTAGAAAATTTTCAAATGCAGAAAGTTTATTTGCAGAATTAATTCATTTCTGATAAACTTATTATCATTAATTTTTTATATACCATGTTATTAAGTTACACGTTGACTACTGTGTAATAAACTTGTATTTAGGGCAAAAAATTAACTATTTTGCAGCTGGTGACTAATATCATATGCTTCTAAGAATATTACTTTTAACTTTTTTCATAATTTTTGTATTTCAGGAACATGAAACTGTTATTTTGATATACTTAAATAATAAAAGTGTGTATCTGAATCAATTAATGGATACAAATATTTTACAGTTATTTTTAGAAGATATTTGCCATATCGCTTCTAATAATTCATAAAGTATGTTAAAATATAGGTAAATAATTTGGTGCAGAATTCAAATTTAGGGTTTGGATAAAATATAGTGAATCATGAGACTAAATGATTTTTATTGTCATGATTTGCCTGGGCTTAAGAATGTACTTTTCGCCCGGTGGAAATTGTCATCAAACTGTCCTGAACAGGCTTTTTGTTGATAATAACTTCCAGGCTTATCAGTACCTCCTTTTGAGTGGAGGGTATACAAATATAGTACCCAATTTAAATTACATTGTGATTATAATAATATTTGTGGTATTAAATAAGTGATTATAATTACAATTTAGATAATTGCATTGTAATTATATTACATTGTATCTGTGAACTCTTAATTTCATTACTTTATGCAATTATGTTGTAAGTGCATAATCTAATTGCAATAATATAATCTATTCACAATTACAAAATAATTATAAATGCAGTTACATCTTAAATAGAGGCCATTTTAATACTTTTAAATTTTTGCAAGATAACTTCCCATTAAGGTTCATTTGGAGGAAACTATGCAAATACTAAAAAAGAAATTATGCTAAATTTACATATTTTGTACAGTAGTTTCTTGTTATAATGCTGTTCAATATATCTTCAATACTTTTGTAAATTTAACGACATTCTTTGCAATCACTGTGGTGCTTTAAAAAGAAGTTTCTTAGTTATGCTTTCTAATAAGAATGTGTTAAAAATTAAGTATTATGTATAATAACTAGCAATTAAAAAAACCTTGACTGCATGAAAATGCTGTTGCTGTGTAAAATAGAAAATAAGCTTATGAAAGATAGAAATAAGCTATTTTATGACTATTAGAAATTTTGAATATTAGAAAATAAGCTATTTTATGCTTTGAAATGAATTACGTGTGGGTTAAGTCGTCCTTTTACAATTTAAGAATGTGGTTAACACACATTCTTAAATTGGACAGGTTTTATCTAAATTATTAGTATAAAATATATAAACTATGAATTATTTTGTAACATAACTCAAATTACAAAATTCATTCTATATACGTTCAAATTTATTATCTTTTATGGAATAACTTTTTTTTTAATTTAGGTAAAAATTGGATTTTTAGAAGTATTACAAATACAATGCAACACAAAGGTGATCTGATTGGAGAGGAAGGACTTTTTTATTACGGTTTCTAGTTCGTATTTATATTACATTTGGGTGAAAATCATCCAAAACACAGAATGCTGTACTTTCTTCTTCCATATATGTTATGAAATATTTCACACATTTAAAAGAAAGTGTTTCTTCAGAGTCTTGCACAATTATTTCCATATACCTCAGACTAAAATTACAACATATTCTTAAGTTATTTTTTAGTATGAATTTACAGTGTTTTTATGGAAATTTTTGTTAAAATGTCATTAAGATAAATTTATTTGCACACTCTACGCTTTAACTATTTCCCCATTTGACACTATTGAAAGTTTTTATTCATATCTTATTTATTTTAGTCTGCTAACAAAACTGAAACATCTAAAGAATAAGTTATTTTGAATATGTTTACAAAATATACGCGAAATTTTTATTTAAGTGAAAACGTCTATATACTATTCGAGAATTAATAAATTATCCGAAAAGTTTATGTGCGCTGAATGCCGCGCGTCTATAAAATAAATCTTTAAAAAAAAACAGCAGACATTCAGCCAGCGTGTGCGATAAACGCGCCAAAATTGGTAGCGCGGTCCCTCCCTCGCCAAGAGAGAAAAGTTAGTGATTCAGCCTGGTTTAGAGGAGCTTAGCCAGGCCGGAGCAGAAGTCCGGTTGGAAATTTTTAGCGGCTTTATCCATCCTCCATCGCCAGGCGAATGCGAAGCAGTTTTTGCATGTTTTTTCCTGGTAGAAGCAGCAGGCTGTGACTTTTTGGACTTCTTTATTTTTCCTCACAGTTTGTCTCTGGAAAGTTCAGTGGTAAAGTTACCATTCTTACGAAACATCTTAGCATGATTTTTATCATAAAACTGTGATCTCTCCATATCCACGGGGAAATGGTGCTTGCACCTGGCTACTGGGCCGAAGGCATCCTATCAAACAAATAAATATTCCTAATTTTGTAAGCTTAACACAAGTAGAAAAATTTCGGAGTTGTAATGGGTAAATTCAATTACAAAATAAGAATACAAATGAAAGTGATGCAACGAATAACTTTGCTGATAGCATTAAGTGAGAAAAATTTAGGTATATCCATATAACATACATGAATATAAAAATATCATTGCATTAAATCAGCCATTAAAATTTGAATGAGTTTATGTTATAATAACAAATGTTAAATTAGCCTTATACAAATCTTGTTTCTTCAAATTCAGACGAACTGGAGTGCGAAATTGTTTGTATAAACGTAAGAAGCGAATTCGAACAGCTTTGAAACTACAAACCATGAAATTTCGCTTAATCTAAATTATTAACCTCGAAATTTCATGAATTGTCCAGGAATTTTACATCTTTTTTTTTAGGTAATAGACCTCCGAATATCAATTATTTTAATATTTCATTTCGTGAAACATAGATGGCGTTACCTTACGGGAAATGTAACTGCTTCATTTTTTTTTAAACCATACCTTCTAACTGAAAAGGGCGGGGTTTATCTTCTCTCACTGTAATTCTGGAAAGTATATTATATCAGAAAATCGATTCTGTGATTTTATTTTCTTTCTAATAGCCTGAGGAATATGTATTTTAATTTCATCTGTAATCTTAAATACATGCGACGAAATAAGAATTATTTATGTAAATAGAGATTTTAGTTTAAATGAATTTTGTGTTCAGGGACCAGTTAGAATTTCTGCAATTCCTGGTTTGCCATTTACTATAGATTAGAGATATATGTTAAGTAATATGATATTAGAAATCAAGTAATGCGATATTCTACCCAGAAGCACATTTTGACTTTCAGTAAGAAATTTTGTTTTCAGCGATAACATATAAAAAGCAACTGAGAAATTAAGGAAGAATGATTCTTGCAATATGCTTTTAAAATTATTTTACCATATTTGAAAACTGAAAGGAAAAATTTTAAAATGTCATTTATAGTTATGCGAATTTACAGTAGTTTTTAGTAAATTAAAATATAAATTTGAAATAAATTAATTGCATTTATCCCTTTACTTGAGGATTATATTACCATTGAATATCTTGGGTTTATGCTTTGATATACATTTAATTTCATAGTAATTTTTGCTAAGGAAAAGTAAGTTTAATAACCTTTCCTTTTCCAATTTGCAGAGATACATCGTTCACAGATGCCCTCTGATGTAAAACACATTGTGACATGTAACAAGTCATCGTTTGCCTTTCATCTATATAAGTTACAATCAGTATTTTGTAAGATTACTGGTAATTAAAA